ACATGACCACTGTTCTTGGCTGAATTTGTACATTTATAAATTCAGTGGTTTCCTGGTATGAAGCAGACCTCGGATCTGTCTTTTTTTTTTTTTTTTTTACAGAGGTAGAGTCATGGGCTTTGGAAAATGCATCCCCGATGCTTAATTTCACCCTGGTTCATCTCTTCTGGAACCAGTTTTGGTGTCTTTTTGGATAATTGTTCTGTTGGAGCTCATGATTGAACCACTAAGTTGGTGATTTAAAGCAGGGGTGTCAAACTCAGTTTCATTTTGGGCCGCATCAAAAATCTGAACGTTCTTTAAAGGACCGGCTGAGCCAAAATGTATCGATAAAACCCATCAAACTGTTAAAATATTAATAAGTAGCTGTCCCTCCAGGATTTTATGATTGTTTTTGTGGTTTTTTTTGCAATCAAAATCACAGATTTTGTGATGCTAATTTCGAAATATTTGTAAGGATTTGTATGATATTTGTGCTATACCCCATGACTTTAAATGTGACTTTTTATTCCTCGCTGTAACTATAACTATATAAGGCTGAGGCAATGAGTCAATTAAGCCCAATGTTTTTGATGAATTTGAGAAAAAAACATTGCAATGAAATCAGAAAAAATGTGAGGATCCGTTGATTTTGTGTGAATTTTGCTACTTTGTGATTGATGTAATTTGGAGCCTACATATAAAAAGTTACGGCGGGCCAGATTTGGCCCCCGGGCCTTGAGTTTGACACACGTGATTTAAAATGAAGTGGAGGAAATTGGGAGCAGTTCTAGCGTTATTGTGCAGTTCTCTAGGACATCTGGCAGAAAATATGCCTAAAGGCTTGAAAGCAGGCAAAAAACAAAACAAAACATGGATGCATGTTTTAGGAGGAGATCATTGAGAGAGTAAAAGAATGTCTCTGTGTGTCAATTTCATGTAAAAAAAAAAAAAAAAGATTAAACAAACAACCAGTCCGACACTCCAAACAAATGTCCAAAGAGGAAGAAGCAGCTGTTTTGTAAATTGCATTTGCATTCACATCACAGTGACCTTTTCAGGAGAGGTCTCCTAAAAGTGGCAGAAACTACATCGGAGCGTTTCAGATTAAAAAGGACAAGAGACGCCGCTACCGTCAATGCATGTTTTTAACACACTGAAGCCTGTGAGGGTGTAACAGTCGAGCGCCAAGCTTGAGTTTTGGATCCATGTAGATCAACATAGTGTCGTATAATAAGCTGGGTAGTGTTAACTTTGCACAACCATTTGTACATTAGCAAAAGCAGGTTGAACTCTCACCTCTGACCTCTGGAATTCAATCCTTGCTGTACACACACACACAGCCTTAGCTGGGTGGTGGTTTGAGGAAAATTTGTTAAAAATATTTTGGACTGCGGCCAAGTTTGTGACACAAAGCCAGCCTTTCTAAATTATCAGAACAATTTCTGCCGATAACAGTCAAAAGTGAATCCCATAATACTCCATAAACTCCTTGGTAGACACAAAAAAAGCTTGCGATGTTTTCAGTTTAAGTGACATTCATCCAAACCTGTCAAAAGGTCTCCACAGCTTAACCAAACTTTATCTCAGAGTACTTAGAAGTTCAGTTGCACAGTCTGTATTCTGTAAAGGACGGTGTAACATTTATATAATCCGAACTGGATGTTTTAAAGTTGATCTGCGGCTCTGTCTTCCTCCACAGGGCTCACTCACTCTGACCTGGACCATGAGCAATGATCTGCCTGTTCGGACAAGTCTGACAGAGAACTCCACTGTGAGTACGCTGCATATCCAGCAACACATGCTGTCCACACCTTCAGATGGCTTGATGTTACGCTTGGAGAAACTCTCACGGTGTTTTCTGAATCCCTGCTGGGTTTCAATCAGGGTGGGAACCGCGGAGAAAGGCATGTTGGGGAAAAACAGTGTTCCAGGTGTCGGCTTCAATCTGCGGGTGCTGCGGGGGTGACGGGCAGATGGGGAGCTGATGGGAAACCAGAAACTGGATATGGTTCTGGATGGATGAGAGAAGGAGAGAGGAGGAGTCTGAGCTGGTTGCTCTGATCGCCGGTCAGCTTGAGTTCTCCGTGGAAACGGAGAATCGACTTCCACGTTGCTCTGCACAGAAAGATGGCTTCGCTGCTCCGACTGATAGATGGAGCTTTGCTTCCCGTTTGGCTGAGTTTGTAGAAACAGCAGGTTTCATTAAGTCACGGCTGCTCCGATACACACACACACACACACACACACACACACACACACATACACACAAATGTAATCATGGTTGTTTCAAACACAAATATGCCGTGCTACCAGAGATTTAGTTGAATACAACATTGAATGAATCTGTTCCGATTAGCTGTTTCTCCATGTGACTGCAGTAAAACATTATTTAATGACTTTTTTTTTTTTTAACCAATCTTCACGAGAGTTGACAATAAGTGCAAGGACACCTTATGTTTCACTTTAGTTTTCTGTGTAAAGAAGCGAAATTGGTTCAAATCTTTAATCCACACATCAAACCACTTCCAGCTTCTCCTCTTCCATCCTGGTTGTGGGCTGCTGAATGTAAAACACTGTTTCATCTTTAACTTGGTTTAAGTTAACATGTTCTGACTTGAGGCAATTTTTTTTAGAGGCATATTGAACAAGAAAAAAAAATGTGTATATGGGTGTGACCACACTTATTGCCAGCCAGGTCTGCTTTCTGAAGTTAAAAAAAAAGAAAGTTTTTTTTTTTTTTTTCACCTTGTCTTATATCCAGTGACTTGATGCTGTTAGACGGATCCTCTGAGTGTCTGATTGGTGGTTCTACAGAAGAACCTCAACGCTCAGGACTGAAGGCAGAGTTTCTCTTTCCCACCCATATCTTATCTGAATTCAGATGGATCCATCGCCGGTTCTGCTTTATGTCGGAGTCATGATGATGTGCATTGGAAACGAGATATATACTCTGTATCAGGAGACACATTATTTCTCACTGCCTGAATTAAACCAAACTAAACTTGAACTGTCTTCGTTCAAGTTTGGTTTGGATTAGCAAAGACATTTCTCATGTGTTGAGCCAGAATAATGTACAGTCGAGGCCTGAAGAGCCACGCAGTGAGGAAGAGGAGCATCATTTCAAATGAAACATAAAAGCTAGAGAGCCATTTACGGATGAACACCGTAATTAAGAAGTAGCTTCATTTTTGGAGACTTGTTCTCTGGTTTGATGAAAGTCCAACTGAAGTGTTTGGCCGTAAAGCATCATGTTTTCATGAATTACTGATTGGTACATTTCACATTGTGTGTCTTTTCACAAGTAGTTTGTACATTCTTGGTTTCAGCTGTCAGTGGAGACACAGACGTTTTCTCTCTTTTGAAAGATGTTTGAAATGCAGCTGCGGTTCTCACTATTATTATCCTGAAGTCGTTTTGCACTCCACGAGGAACTCCTGGGTTCTTCTCTCCCCTCTTGAGCCTCTCTGGATAATTCTCTTTATACATCTTCATCCATTAGCCAAGATCAAACATTTCAATTGATTAATATTCTTTTCGTGCGGGCAGAAAGAGTCCAATTATTCTCCTCTTTCCACTGAAACCGACATTCGGAGAAGAGCCAGGAAAGTCGTCAGTGGGGATTGCTCATGTGCGTCGGCATCCTCCTCCTCCTCCTCCTCCTCCTCCTCTTCCTCCTCCGACTTCCATTTTTAGCCTGCAAAGGCCTCATTTCCCTCTCATTGAGAAGAGTTGGGAAATTGAATTAAGGGTCTTGCTGACGTTTCGATTAGCATCCCCAGCCCCGCTCAGTCAAGACTCGGTGTATTAATCAAAAGAGAGCAGTTGGCTGTCTGTGTGTGTGTGTGTGTGTTTGAGCGAGCAAGCGGTGTGTATGTGGGTGTGTGTTTGCAGCGAGGAGGCAAGGACTTAAGAGTCTTCCAATGCTGATTCCACTCATTAAATATTATGGTGCTTACAGCTGACAGCGTAACACCACAAAGAGAGTCCTCACTGGCTCTTTAGAAAAAAAAAAGAAAAAAAAAAAAGAAAGACAATCAATTACAGTCCAGCCAGAGTGAATTCTGCCACCATGTTCCCTTAACAAAACACAGCAGTGGAGAAATGCACGCCTCTGCCGGGCTTTGCTGGTCAATGATTGAGTCTGGATCTTTGGAGAGGAAATTAAATTCATGCGCCGCATCCCAGGCAATATCACCGCGTCAAAGTTTAAGCGATTACAACCATGTTTAGAGGGATATTTATAGATAAAAGATCAGATATTCAAATTTAGATTCATGAGCTTCGATGTGTTGCTCTGTTTCTGGGTGTTTTTACCTTCATCCTTCAGTCTGGATGTTGTTGGTTTGGAGTCCTTTGCGAAGCATTTCGTTTGAATGCACAGAAAAAGGAAAGTGTCCAGAAAAGGACAAAGGAAAACCAGGGATCTGTCCCAACCCATGCACAGCTGGTAACAGGATTACGCTGTGTAATTTGGTAAAATTTCTGCCCTGATGAAAACAAATGTATCTCACTCACCCTCTCGTGGGAGGCCAGCGACTCCAGCGTTCTGCGCTGCTCGCATTTAAACAGGATTTAATTATGTCCTTGTGACTTTATAGCACTGATTTGTTGATAATGTTTTCTTTCTTTTTTTTTCAGAATATGAAGTATGTTTGAGAGAATTCAAAAAGAATATCCATAACCATTTTGGCATTTTGTCACGCTAAAAAGACAAACATCTGTGTATTTTATTGCTTTAGACCTACACAATGTTCTGCATGCTGTACCTGCAAAGTTTCAAATCTCAAAAAGGGTGGTATGCATTTTAATTTTATGGTATCCAACCCATTTTACTTTGATGCCCCAAATAAAATCCCCCAGCAACCAGAAGTCGCCTGATTTCCCTATGAAGACAGTTTGTTAGAGAGCATTAGGGAAGCAGCAACATCATGAAGGACAAGGAAGAACAGCAGCAAAGTTCAGGGAGAAAGTTGAGAAGTATAAAGCACCTTGGGGTTAGAAAACAACATCCACAACAGCAAACGTACCAAGACATGTACGTCCATCCAGACCGACTGGTTGGACTGGAAGCTGCTGCCCATACCATTCCCACTGCGATACACGGTGGTGGTGCCATCATGCTTTGGGATGCTTTTCTTCAGCAGGGGCATGGAAGCTGGTCAGAGTAGAAGAGAAGATAAATACAGCACAGGGGGGGGATAGGGCAGCAACCCTAAACATACAGTGAGAGGTACGAGGGAGTAGATTAGATGTAACATCCTAGTCAAAGTCCAGTCCAATGTCCAAAGCTCACCAAAATGTCCTCCATGTTTTGTTGTTCAGACTGGAACAGGAAACCACGCTGCAAATCAATACGCACTGCATATGTCATTTGCTGCTGCAGCCAATGTTTATGAAATGAAATGTAAAACAGCTGGAAGCTCCATAGTATTTATGTGGACTATAAATACGTTATAGTCTACAATTATAACACATTTCACCCCCTTTCTTAAATAATCGCTCAGCAACAGGATGTGCCTGTGTCGACCGGCCAAGCGGAGAACTACGTGCTGCTGCTGGTGCTGCTGAGCGTCTTCGCCGGCGGGACGCTGGTCCTGCTGTCCCTGCTGCTGCTCTTCTGTCACCGCTGCTGCTTGGGTGGACGGCGCTACTCCAGGTGGGTCCTGCCAGAACCAGGTCGGTGTGGATTGCAACTTGAGAGATCCGCATGACGTGACAGAGAGCACTTCTCCTTCTGTGCTTCAAAAACACGGAGAGTAAAAGTAATTTCCTCCCCGCAGAGCGAGCGATGACCCTGAGAAGACAAACACGACTTATGCTGAGGATTCTCAGCCCACGCAAGGTCAGAGCTGCGCCGTTTTGTTTTCCAGTTTCACACATGCTTTCTGGTTCGGTGTCGTCACAGACCTCTTTTGTTCCTCTTTGTCGGCGCGTTCTTTTCGCTCAGAGATCACAATTCGCCTTGATGAATCAGACGCTCTCTCGGCGTCGAGCTGTCACGATGGAGAGTCGGACCGATTCGTTTCCACCGGCTCCACGGGCCGCAGAGTGTCCTTCAACGAATCCGCGCTGTATGATCAGGAGAAAAACACTCAGGAAAAAGGACGCAGGTAACGTCCACTTGAGCAAACTTGGGTATTCTTCCCCTCTTTGGCGGACGGAGATCAGACGCTTATGCCTCGACCTCAGGTACACGCTCACCGAAGGAGACTTCCATCACCTGAAAAAGGCCCGGCTGACCCACCTGCACCTGCCTCCCGCTCCGTGTGACCTGAAGATACTCACCATCATGGAGTGCGACTCCACGGAGAGCAGCACCATCAACATCAGTGAGACTTCGGCTCCCAATCTGCCCCTCAGCATCTACCAGGTAGCTGAACAACATCAGGTCGGTGAGCCGCCACATTTCGGCCTCTGATGGAGTTTCCTGTCTCCTTTATCCAGCCTGCTGAGAGAGGAGTCCCTGACTGGCTGGGACAGAGCCTGAGTGGGGGGCTGCCTGGAGATCCACACCACTCCACCGTCCTGGACCAGAGAGACCTGCAGTCCTCATCTGTCCTCAAGTCCCAGCGCTCTCAGACGGTGAGTCTTTAACTTTAATGAACCTTGTCTTCATTTGAAGTTCTTACTTCAAATGAATCCCTTGAACGTCTAAGGAGACTTCACTGCTGTTCATCTTTTGCTTGCTTTTGTTTGTAACTTTGTTTACACGAGTGAAGATGGCTCCTTCACCTTTTTCAAATCAGACAGAATTGGTGTCAAATGTTTGTGCAGCACAATTGTTTTTGTTTGTGCCGCTGTCATTTTAAAGACATTAGGAAATGTTTCCAGAGGTCACAAAAGATCAACCAGCCCCTCCACCTAATTCAAATCAGACAAAATTGGTGTCAATCAACTCGACTACGTTTGTGCCGTTTGCTGCACACACCAGCTTTGACTTTAAAAGTTTAAAGATCAAACGGTGAACCAGCCCCCCACTTTTACTAAATCAAAATGACCTTTCAACTTTCATCAATAACTTTAACGCTTTAATGCTAACCTTTCGGTTGTATATTAATATTTGTAATGCAAGATGGAAGAGAAAAAGTGAACAGCAGAACTCCTAAAACACACACAGAACCCTTTCATTCTAAATCTCAAGAAAGTTTAAGATTGTTGTAAGATTTTCTCCATCAAATTTTGTATTATAAGATTTTAGATGCTGTGACGTGACTTAATATTGGATAAATATGTATGAAACCCCCAAATGTCTATCAGCTGAAAGTGAGGAATGGCCAATGTCAGAAGGAAGCATCTCAGTGAAGTTACTTAGTTTGCCGTACGTTTGCTGTACGGCTGATGAAGGTCAAACTCAACATCACGTTTACTGTGAAATCTACAGAGACTGTGAAGCCATCACTAAACATGCAAGGGAAACGTTCTTTATGATTTGTGGCGATTATAAACAAAAACACTAACAATTCTCACACCTTATTTGCCATAGTTGACAGGTTCACAAACCTTCTTGTGATTATATCCCCTGAACTCCAACAGTTAAAAAAAAAAATGAGAGGGTTAATCTGCACATCGTGTCATATCTCCGAAGATGTTGCATTACATCTAATGTCTACCAATTGTGGTTTTGGATCACTTTTCTCTTATGAAATATGATCTAATTAAGCTGCGAGAACACAGGGAACGTTCTTTGTTACATAGTGAGACATAAGCCACAGCTGTACATTGCAAAAGTTGACCTTGCTTCATTTATTTTGTCTGTACTAGATCATTAGCTGCTATTTATTTGTTAATGTGCAACTTTTGTTTTCAAACTCAAAGCCGAGCTGGTCTGTACTGAACTCGGTTTATTTCCACAGTGCAAACAAATCCACTGATTTCCAACACAAAGTGAAACTCAGTCGCCTGCTAGAGGCTCAGAGCTGCTGCTGCTGCTGCATCAGTCATCGCTGCAGCTGAGTGACAACATGACAAATCCTGTCCCCTGAGGACTCTGGCTCTCACTGTCGCCATCCATCTCAGATGCATGTCCTTCCTTAATGCGACTCCACCTCCCCTCCATCTTCCTCTGCCTTCATCTCTTCTGTCAGATGGAGGCCATCGGAGACAGGGGCGAGGCCGAGAGCGAGTGGGGGCCGAGGGGAGAGCCCGCTCAGGCCCCGGGTCCGACGTCTGTCCTGCACTTCCTCTCCAAACTGCGGCGACACGCCAGCCTGGAGGGGGCCGGGCCTTACTTTAGGAGGTGGAAGTTCGACACCAGCCATCGGGCCGCCAGTCTGGACGCCAAAGGTTTGCGCAGATTCGTGGAAACGCTAAAAGTTTTCGGGAAATGAATATGTATTTTTTAAAAAAATAAAAACTAAACTTTAAACTGGTTTCAAATGGTTTGAAAGGAAAGATGAGACGTATTCAGAGCTATAGTACCACAAAATAAAAGATTAAATTGTTGTTTATGCTTGACTCAATGAAAATAAATACAAGTCGTTAAATTAATAAATAAATGAATTTATTATCATTATGTTAAAAATCAAATATACAAGCCGATAAATATGTGAAATTCATTCATTTAAAAAATCATTAAATATTATGAGCATATGTAATTATAACAGCATTAAGTGATTTCATGGTTCCTGTGTAACAGTGCACCATGAAATGATTTATTTGTCGCTGCAGCTCATCAGATCTGTCCGACCTCTGATTGGTTAATCTGTACAGGAAGTTACAGCATCACACACACAAGTTTCTATTTCTACCTATATTAGGACTTTGCATTGACTTTTGTTCATTGTAGTGAGTGAATTTATGCCCAAACATTTTACCTCTATCCCTAAAACAACAGAGTCCATTGTATTACGGCCGCGTTTTGGTCCCAATAAAGCTCACTGGTCTTCAGAAAGTTAGTAAATATGGCAGAAATGAGAAGAATATCTAAACGAATACATACAAACATTAAATCCATCAATTGTGAAACAGCTGCAGCTCCAATTTCATTTCAGTTATGACAAGTGTAAGTAATACCTTTAATGTAATTGTAAGGCAGGGAAGGTCATTTTATTTATATGGCACATTTTCAGCAACAAGGCAACTGAAAGCTTTGGATGAATTAGAGGAAATACAAATAAAACAACAAAAGACAAGCAAGAGAAAGATGAAAGTATAAAACATTTACAGAAAGGTAAAAGTATAGAGCTACATTTTGGTTCCCCATGTTTAGTAAGAATAAGAATCGATTAACTAGTACGGGTTTCTCTGAATCGTGACACACTTGGCACTAGATGGAAATGTGAAGATGTGTGTGATTTCCTTCCAGGCTCCCCAAAGAGAAAACCTTTTCAGAGACAGAGAGCAGCAAGTGAAACCACCGACCACACCGATGAAGACTCCTCTCCGTTCCGAGATGACGCCTTTGAATCTTTCCCACATATTCCCATCCAGACCAGCGGCCTCCAGTTCCTCTCCGCGGAGACTCTGCCTCATCCGGAAACAGCTCCTACATCCTGCATCTTCCTCAGGAGGTAATTCTCTCCTTACATAACAATGATTTCAACAAAGTCAGGTTCTGACTGCATGTTCCTCTCCTGTGCAGGCTAAAGCTGGAGGCCATGGTGGAGGTAGGTGGCAGCGCCACCAGCAGCAGCAGGAGAGCCGAACTCTGTTTCCCATCTGATCCCGCTCTGGGGCAGGTTGAGCCCGCCGTCAACGGAACCGGAGCAGAACAAGAAACGGTGTTTGGAGCAGCGATAAGAACCAAAGCAACAAGAAATGAGTCGGAGTCTGCGGAAGATGACAACCTGTTTGGTGCGGAGCAAGGACCCACCAGGCGGGACCGGTTTGAAGAGCTGTTGAGACAAACCGAGGATTCAAAAACAGACGTCGGCACGGCTGGTGTGAGAAAAAAGAACGATGCGGGGACAGATGAGGGAGACGATGCAGCGTTGGGAGCCGTGGCCAGAAGGAGGACAGATTCAGGCTCGTCTCTGTCTTTCATGATCCGCCAAGAGAGCTCAGAGGCACCCCCATCTCTCTACAGAGACATCTGGAGCCTGAGAGCCTCTCTGGAGCAATATGCGTCTTCAGATCAGAGCAGCACCGATCGTGAGTCGGTCCGCAGTGACGCAGATAGCGTCTCGTCCTTTGGTGGAGCTCGCTCAGGCCTGGACACCTGCCTGTCGCAAGACCTGGACGACGAGCCTGAAGGTGATGGGGAGGTGGAGGGCGGAACCAGAGGGGCGTCAGGGGGAGTCGGGGAGATGGGGAATGGAGCTGGAGGAGAGGCAGAGGGAGGAAACAGGAAGTTGCTTCAAATGGACAGTGGTTATGCCTCTATTGAAGCACCATCCAGAGCCCCTGAAGATATGAGGCTGTTCGGGACTCCTGGGGCCCCTCGGGGGAAAACTGCATCTGAGAGGAGACTGTTTTTTACCAGCTCTGGGAGGAAAGGCTCAGTGTGTGAGAGCGTGGAGACCAAGTTGTTTCAGGAGGAGCTGGAGGACCAGATGGCCCTCACCGCAGACACAGAGGACAGACTAAAGCAGAAATCTCAGGGTGACGGTCTTTCTCACACCCTTCAAGAGCCATATCAGCTACTGAAGTCCCTCCATCCTCAGAAGCCTCCAGAAACACAAACTCAACTCATTTCTCCGTTGGTGAGCCCGACCCCACAGCCCCCGAGTCCTCATCGATCCCGTCTCCGTCGCCGTGACTACAGCATAGACGAGAAGACAGACGCGCTCTTCAACGAGTTCCTTCGTCACGATCCGCGCTTCGACCAGCAGGACTCTCCGCTGCGCTCCAGGCACAGGTCCAGGGTTCACCTCCGGAAGCAGTGGCAGAGACACAAGCAATACAGCGACCCGGGTTCGGCCTCGGGGGGAAGGTACTCGCCGTCTCTAGAGAGACAGAGGTTCACCCCGCTGAGGAGGGGGGACAGCGCAGGCTACCCGCTGGACACCAGGTACCACAGCACCCTGTCGAGAATAGCGAGCGCTGCCGATGAAGAAGCCAGCGAGGTCGCGGCTTCTGAGGAGGCGGCAACGGAGAGAGCAGAAGATCCGGTCGGAGAAGCAGCTGCAGCAGGGAGCACGGCCGGCCAAACGTCCGACGGAGCAGACCCAACGAGAAGCGTCTCCGCAGAGTTGGCTGGTGAGACTGATGGCTGCCAAGTGTCCACAAGCAAGGAGGCGGGAAGCGCGAGCAGCACTCTGTCGGCCCAATTTAGCCTCATGGACCCCAGAGTGGACAACAGGAACAACAACAGCAGCCAGGCCATCCTGTCAGAGGTTTCCCTGCAGGCCCAGAGCAGCCTAGCAGACAAGCTGGTGGCGTCGGTGGACGAGAGACTCTACGGCGGACTGCGCCGCGCGGAGAAGGCCCGACAAGCAGGGTCAGAGGTCATCGTGACTCACACTGCCTCACCGGGGTCCAATCCCACATAATCCCCTGCCGTTGTATTTATCACAAAACCACAATAAATCAAGCATCATAATGCGTCAGACACGGCCCAACATTATCACGTGTCAGGCATCTCTAGCAGCATTAGCTTCCAGCATTAGCATTAGCTTCCAGCTCGTCCAGTCACACCCGAACTGCCGCTGTGACGTCCCTCCGTCAGTAACCAGAAAACTCATCGCCGACATTCAAAGATGTAGATGCATCTTTAGAAAACGTTATTTTCTGACCTACCTGTGACTTTTCAGCATGCTAAGTCCAAGCTACGTGTCTGTGAATAGTGTACAGTTTTAACCTCTACGAGCACTTTGATGGGATGAAAGCTACCGCTGGTGTTTGTCAGCCATTTCTCTCATGTCCCTTTCCTCTTCAAGTGTCCTTGTTTGTCTCTGTCGTCATGAGGGTGAAAGGTCGTGTGAGAGAGCGGTCGATTCCACGAATAATGATACGGTGAACCGCGTATGTCCTCAGCCACTTGGCTTTTACACTCACAACCACAAAATTGTGGTTAGGTGGAATTTTACGACAGACACACATGAAGTAGTGCAAAATTTGATTTGAGCCTTTTGAAATGAATAAAAACGCTACAGAACCAGAGAACAAATGAGAACATTAATTTTCAATTCCTGCCACAGAATCTCAGAGGGACTTAGGTATGGACTTGACTCTACGATTAAGGTCCTCTGACAGGGTTTAGCTAAAGTGAGTGGTGTGCAACACATGCAGTCTATAACAAAATGAAACAACCAGGCTCCTCCAGAGTTAGCACACTCCTCTTTACTGCTTTTACTAATAATGTTCCCCTAATAGCCTTGTAACAATCCACAGATACCATCAAATAACAGCAGGATTCATACCGAGAATAAATTAGCCACAGTTGGACTATGGTATTCAGTAGAAAACCTCTGGAGATGATTATTTGCACTGGGTTTTTAATTCTGGCTATTTTTATAATTGCACACCAGTTTTTAGATCATTTGTTCATCTAATTTAATTATGCAGTACTTTGTGTCTGTCTATCGCATAGAATTTCAATAAAATATAATTTTGTGGTTGTAAAGTTAAAAAACAAAAGTTGTGTGAATACATTTGCCAGTCACTGTATGAAGAACGATACCAAACATGTTTACAGCTGCCCTCTCTTTCATTAACACTTTATCAGCCGACCTGAAGATATCACTATAAACCCAGATGGAAAGCAGAAGATGCAGTCAAATAAAAAAATAAATAAATACATGAGCAGTTTTGCATTTGCTCCTTATATTTAAGTTGTGTTTATTTGTGTTAGTCATCAGTTCTTGTCATGTGGCACGACCGAGGAGACGGCGTTCAGGCGTGGGCTTTAGTGTATCTGAGACTCTTCGGAGGGAAGACTGACAGATGATGCGCTTGAAGTGAGTGACACAGAAGCCTCTGAGGCTTTTAAACAGATTGCTCACGGAGGAGTTCAGGCTGTCACATGCTGAAAGTAATCAGAGGTGGCGTTGCCCTGTGCCCAGGAGGAAACAAAATGATTAACACACTGTGCAAGTCCAAATAAAAATGTGGGAATAATCCGTTTTTCTCCCGAAAACAACTCTTGCAGAGTCTGATAGTTTATTTCTTTTGAGTCTGATTGTACATAACTCTGCAAAATCTCCCAAGAAATGCAAAAAGAAAAGAAAAAAAAAAAAAAAGCACAATAAGAAATGTTTCTGGAAAAATGTGGAACATAAGATGATTGTTTATGGCTCAAAAGTGACTAGAAATTAATATTGGAAAGTTTGTAGTAATAGTGCAAACCAAATGCCGTTATTACTCAAGGGAACAAAGGTGAGAATTAATCGTGAATTCTCTCAGTTCACTCTGGCAGATGAGCAAATGTATTTTTTCATCTAAAAAAATAAATGTAACATTTTTAAATTTATTTTTTAGATAAATTTATGGCCACTTCCAGCTTAAATTTGTTTCATTCTTTAAAACTGAATCAGTAGAAAGGGAAAAAAATAACTAAATCCCTGAAATACATGAGTGAGATGTGTCTTTTTTTTTTTTTTTTACAAAACATTTGAAGGAACGAATACATTCAGCTAAATATTACCTGATTTAGCTTTAGCTGCAATCAGTGAGTGGATGTAGTTGGCGGAGAACATAAACATTTAAATGCATTAACATAATCCACATATTTTCACTTTCTTGTTCTCATCCTTGTCATGTTGGAGTTTAAGTGGCAGCACTGAAGGTGAAAGCTCTTCTGGCTGCATTTCAGTTTCTCACTAAAAAGAGAAACTGTGGTCTCTTCTGGTCTTGAGACAAAACTCCAGCACTTTTGAGACAAAGACCAGAGAGCAAAAATGCTAACATCGAGAAAAGACGAAGACTTCTACAGTGTGATTTCAAGGTATTGAGACCAGGATCAGCCTCAAGAAGCCCAACTATAATTGTGACTTTACAAGCATGGGATATTTGACCAAAATTAATTAAAAGATGGCAGAAACTGGCTGAAAGCAACACTGAAGAGTCTGTAGGAATTTAATCAAAACTCTGATTGCGTTTTATATGCGAGAAACGATGCTGCATCCTCCAAGTCTGCATTAACGAGTAGCAATGAAATGGAGAAGGCTGGTTAGTTTACAAGGACAAGCCAGACTTAAGAAGAAACCTTCTAAAACCTTTTATTTCTGTTTTTGTTTTTCTGTTGCAAATATCTGACCCGGAACCCTTGTTTCTGCTTGAAAAGTAAAGTTTTAAAAGGGTTTCTTCCCCCCGCCAAAATATCCTTATCGATTCCCAAATCTACGAAAAGTGGCGTCACTTGGTGATCTTTAAATCTTTAAAGGTGCTACGTAAATTAGGTTTTACTTGCTTCACCTGGAGAATATTACAGATTTTAGAAGACCAGAATAAAGTCTGATAGGAAACATTAGTAGTCAAAAATGGCTGCCGACAAGATGCCTTCACGCTTATAGTCTGATAACTTCATCTTTGAGATTATTTCTGGATTTCACACATTAAAGACAGACTTCTTAAATGACATATTAAGTGAAGGCGAGTAAAATGTTTACATTTAGGCTTTACAGTTTTAAAGCATCTTCTATCAGCTGAACTCGAGCAGGTCCACTAATTTTCCCTTTAGTTTCCCAACATTAAGAAAATATTTTGAATCTATTAAACAGTGCAACCTGAACTGAAAGTGCGATTTTAATGATTAGCTGCAGCTTTAATCTGCATCATTACCAAACATAACGCACAACCCCAGCATGTTCCTCCAAAAATAAAAAAACTAAAACTCACTCATTGAGTTCCTGTGTTTAACTTCCAGAAAGAAGCAGTGACTTTTTCCATCCACATTTCTCCATGTTATTGTAAAAAGAAATCAGTTTCTGCAGCATCGACAAAAATGAAGCCTCTGTGGCATAAACTAAAGCAAAAATATACATTTTAGTCTCCCTCCCCACCTCCATGGTGACTCATTCAAGCTTGTACGTGTGTGTGTGTGTGTGTGTGAGTGAGAGCTGGGTGACTAAGCTTCACAATTAAACCAAACACATGAAGTGTGTCCTGTCGTACCGACCGCTGGGCTGAAGCGTTCACAGTGCCTCTCTCCATCCTCGCTGCGCCCTTCTTGTCTCCGGCTGGAGGCTCAGCGCTGACCTTGCTGACGTGGAAAGCGCCGCTCCCCCTCCTCCCCTCGCAGTCGTGACTCACCTGCTGATCTGTTCCCAGTCAGGAGCTCATGATGCACAAAAGAGGGGCAGGGCTCCCACAGATGTGATTGGTGCAAAAAAAAAAAAAAAAAAAAGTTTACTGGCCATTTTTCAGCACCGACTGCCTTCAACTTAGCAGCATCTGCATAGATGATCAGATTTGTTCAAAAAAAAAAAAAAAAAAAAAAAACAAAGGTCGGATATACAAAACTGAAATTGATAATTCAGGACCAATTTGCTTTTAATTAAAACCTTAAAGAGCTGACATTTTCCTTGAGTCAGCTTAATGTGTTTTACTACTTATTGCATCGCTAATAGTTGCAGTTATTCGACTGATACGACTTCAGCCAAGATATACAGTAAACCTCAACTAAATGTTTTTAGTTTGCAGTCTAAGCTGTTAGTAGCTGGTTGGATAGAGAGGCACAAACCAGATATTTTCTCCTGATTAGTTTTCTTACAAAAAAAGAAATATCTGTTTCTGTCTGTAGAAACTTCAAATGTGTATTTGATGTTTCGCCAGTTTTCAAAAACAAAAAACAAAAAAACAAAAAAAAAAGTTTAGAGCAGGAGTTGGCAACCTTTTCGGTCCGTAAAGGCAAGAAGATATCCTTCAATTGTAAAAGTAAAATATTTGTATATTAGAATACAAAACAACATAAAACCTTTATTATAAATTGTTCAAGAATCACTTGTGCAACCAGGCTACTTTAGCGCAAACTAAGCAGAAACTCCTGAGGAACAATGTACAGCTCACCTAAAAGACAAAAAACAAAACAAAACAGCATTTAAAAGATTTAAAAGCAGCATGTCGTATAAATTTTTGAATAGCTGCTAAAGCCAACCTCTCTTTGAGCCATTATGATGAAATCATTTTTTGATTAAAGCCAGAGAGCCTCTACAGAGGAGCTAAAAATGAAAAAGTGGCTCCAGAGACACAGGTTCCAGACCCCTGCTCAAAACATAGACCCTTTACAAAGCAGCGATAATATAATTCCTCCATTTGTGTCGAATACCTCCTGCAGCAAACGCTACTCCTGTTTTATTCTTTTCCAGAAAAACCCTTTAAAAATCAGCAGGACAGACATGAATGACTAAAAATGTATTGCCTGATTGGTGCATCGCTATTAATTAACCTATTTGTTTGAGTAATCTTCCTAACAGACATGCCTCTCGCAGGTTACCTACCATAGTTTTAGTTAGTGTAATAGTCAATTGTTTGGTTTTGAAAGCATATGGATTTTAAATCTGCGTATTCCTCGGTATCAGAATGTAAAAAAGAAATGCAGTAATAAAAGTTATTGATTGGCATTAAGTGAGATGCACTGTGTAAAATATATTCCCAGCTAGCAAAAAAAAATAAAATAAAATAAACCTTGAGCAAAACAGACTGTTTGGGACACATTCTTTATAAATAATAATAAAAAATAAAATCACTGGAAAAATAAAATTGAAACCTAAATTAAGATTTAAGTCGGGGCTTCAGTCTGTCAGCGTCTCCGCGAACCAATCGGCTTCCCTTTCATTCAGCTCTGTACTGCATGCAGTTTATGTTGGTGGTCTTGCTATAATGATTACTCACAAAGTAGATTTAAATACAGAATTATCCATAGCTTTGCTTTTGTTTTGTTTTTTTTCCCCACTTTAATATTTTACACATCACAATGTGTATTAAAAACGGCCATCAGGGTTCAGTAAAAACAAAGGTAGTTGAAGAAACAGAAGTCGGGGGAGGTCGGGATGGGGTCGGGGGGTGTCTGAATTGTCCGGTGCAATACTTGGCCATCTGACGAGGATGACAGAACTGGGGGCAGGAGAGGGGCTGGGTGGGAGGGGGGGTGAACAACCAGAAAAAAGGAGGCAAAAATATTGGGAGAAAATAAACATCTTCACAGCAAGTGCCTCAGTCTCAGAGCAAACAGAACTTTTCATGCCGTCCTTCTCCTCCCCTCCTCTAGAGAGGCGATGCAGGCCGGCGGTCCGGGGAGGTGTGGGGACGTTAAGGTCAGCAGGCTTCACTCCCGGCCATCAGGACTCCAGACAATAAGGGACGAAGACAGATCGACCTGAAAGAGAGCGAGAAAGAAAGAGGGGCTCGGTTCAGAACGCGGCAGACGTCTGCACGACTGGATTTTTTTTTTTTTTTTACAAGGCGAAAACTAATTTGTGGCGTCAAAACGGAAAGAGTCAACCCACAGGGTGAGAAAGACACAAACATCCCACAACCCACTTTTTATCTCATTCGGGATGAGTCATCGCCTGAACAAATTAATACACAGCATCTCTTCTGCACTGCGCCCGTGACAAACGGCCTCGCTCTGCGAGAGCTTCGGATGTGTGCAAGACGGAGAGAGCAGCTGTGGGTGGTGGCTGGAAAAAGAAGACAACCTGTTCGAAATTTGGCAAAACGCTTGAAGCGAAAACATGTCCTGGTTGATTTGAACAAGGAGCCCTGACAAGCAGTTGAAAAGATATTTGACAGCCCAGTCCAGAGGTGTTTTTGTGGCATAAAAAAAGAGAGAGAAACAGCAAGAGAGAGAGAAAGAGAGAGAGATCGCTCTTGTATTTGTCAGGGAAGTGGTGATGAGTCAGAGAGCTGGAAGCTGAATACCAACTCCGTCTCTCAATCCGTTTCCCTTCTACACTCTGAAACATGTTCCTCACTACAGTTTACTGGATCTGAAGCGTATTGGAGGTTTTTTTTTTTTTCTCCTTTTCTACAAACTCAGCAGTCATCACTTACCAACTGGGCTGCTGTCGTGGGAGAGGATCAGAGGGGCTGTCATTGCTGTTTGCAGGTGGAAAGCTTGCGGATTTTGCTGGCTGTGGAGACTCCTTTACGTGAGGGGTTGGACGAGGAGGAGGACCTGCGCTCGGCTTTGGTCTTGCT